CGGTGGCCGGCGGGACCTGCGCGCCGACGAGCTCTGAAGGTGATTTGACTAATCGCTGGGCTGAATGGAAAGAAACAGGGGAACAAGGTGTACCTCAAGCCTCGGCGGCCAGACGCTGCGGACGAACGGGGCGGGGACGGCGATGCCCCGACGAGGACGGACGGGCGACGGCGCCGGCGGCGACGCGGGCGCGGGTGGTGGGGGCTAAGGTACTGCGTTCTACGGCGGCTCGGTGGTGGTAGAGCGGCAGGGAGGGGGCTAGGAGAGATGCGCGTTTGGAGCTTGTAGCGGGCCAGGCCGATCGCGCAGATTCGGCCCACGAAGCCCCTGTTTGCCATAGTTTGGCTAGTCGGCCATTTGAATTTGGATGAATGTATGCACCGTTTGAAAATGGAGATAACATTTATAAAATCCCATCACAAAACAACGAGCGGATTCAGAAACCGTTCAGGTACGAGCTCATGTGGGAGGCGCACGAGACTTTCCTTGACACAGTAGTTTCGGGATGGGGGGCTGGCCCTCCGTGCACATCTGTGGCAGCGCTACGCCACAAGTTGCAGGACCTGGCGACTAACTTGCAGCGGTGGAGCCGGGATACGTTCGGGAGTGTCAGGAAAGAAATTAAAAAACTCAAACAGATGTTAGAGGAGCTAAAAAACGACCCAGCAAGAACGGTCCTTCCCATGTCAAGCTAAAAATCAATGAGAAGCTGATTGAGATGTTTCACAGGGAGGAGATTATGTGGCGTCAGAGAGCCAGGGTAGAGTGGATTTCGGCAGGAGACAAAAACACAAAATTCTTTCATCTCCGAGCCAGTGTTTGGCGCAAGAAAAATATGATAAAGGCTCTACAGAATTCCCTGGGAGTGGAGATATCTGATCCAGCAAAGCTAAAGGTATTAGCTAATGATTTTTACCATTCTTTATATCTCTCCGAAGGTGTCCAAACCATGGATGCGGTGCTAGACCATGTGCCCAGGAAGGTGACAGCTGAGATGAACTCAAATTTGTGTGCACCGTATACCAAGGAAGAGATCAAGACTGCTTTATTTCAGATGTTTCCGACAAAGGCTCCAGGCCCAGATGGTTTTCCTGCTCACTTTTACCAAAGGCATTGGGAGGTTTGTGGTGATGAAGTAACAAATATAGTGCTCAGAATAGTAAGGGGCGAGCAGAGCCCAGAATCTGTTAATGATATAGTATTGGTATTGATTCCTAAGGTAACAACCCCTACGGTACTTGCTCAATTCCAACCTATAAGTCTATGCAATGTTCTGTATAAGATAGCCTCGAAAGTGATAGCCAACAGGTTGAAGAGGATTTTGCCTGACACAATCTCTGAGGAACAGTCTGCGTTTGTCCCTGGAAGGCTTATTACTGATAATATCATATCTGCTTATGAGTGCTTACATTTTATGAAAAGGTCAAGAGCAAAGTCAAACAGTTATTGTGCTCTGAAGCTGGACATGATGAAGGCATATGACAGACTGGAGTGGGCATATCTCAGAGGTATCATGACTAGACTGGGTTTTAATCTACATTGGATAGATGTGGTCATGGGCATGGTCTCTTCAGTCTCTTTTTCGGTTTGTTTTAATGGTGAGAAGCTTGACTCTTTTATACCCACTCGTGGTATCCGGCAGGGAGATCCAATCTCCCCCTACTTGTTCTTGATTGCAGCAGAGTGCCTTTCGTGCCTCCTTAAATCAAGTTCTCAGTCGTCTCTTACAGGTATCCAGGTGGCTCCCTCGGCTCCCATCGTCAACCACCTCTTGTTTGCACATGATAGCCTGTTGTTATTTAAGGCAAGTGGGGAGAGCTCAACTATGGTATCAAACCTGCTTGATACTTATTGTTCTGCTTCTGGACAACGGATCAACAATGAAAAATCCTCTATTTTTTCAGCAAGGGTTGCCCAGTACAGACAAGAGAAGTTGTTAAGAACAATTTGCAAGTACAGAATGAGTCCTTGAGTGAACGTTACCTAGGAATGCCTACAGATGTTGGCCACTCTAAAAACGGTACGTTCAAATATCTTCGGGATCGAGTGTGGGAGAAAATTAAGGGATGGATGGAGAAGTTACTTTTTGCTGCTGGTAAGGAAGTTTTGATCAAATCTGTTGCACAAGCTATACCTGTTTACTCCATGGCGTGCTTCAGATTACCACGAGGCCTTTGTGACAGCATCATGTCTATTACTCGACAATTCTGGTGGGGTTCCAAGCATGGAAAGAGAAAGCCCAGCTGGGTGGCGTGGGACATACTGACTATGCCGAAGCACTTGGGGGCCTAGGTTTCCGTAACATGGAGATTTTCAACCTCGCCTTACTGGCAAGGCGGCATGGCGTACCCTAACAGACAGCAACTCACTAAGTGCCAGAATCCTCAAGGCAGTTTACTTCCCACACTGCTCTCTCCTTCAAGCAGAACTAGGATCGCACCCATCCCAGATATGGCGAGCGATTTTGGATGGTCGGGATATCCTGGCGCAAGGGATCATCAGGAGAATTGGTGATAGTGAGACGACCGATATTTGGCGGCACAACTGGATCCCACGTGATGGGCTTAAGCGTCCCATGTGTTCTCTAACTTAGAACCCTCCAGCGAAAGTGGCGCAGCTTATAGATCCAAGATCGGCAACGTGGAATGAAAACCTGGTACGCTCGGTGTTCACCCACTTTGATGCGGAAGAGATTCTACGGATCCCACTTTGCACTTGCCGGGTGGCGATTTTTGGGCCTGGCATGAAGAGCCTTGAGGTAATTTCAGCGTTCGTTCTGCTTACCGAATGATTCTAAAAACGAAACACAGCAGGGAAGCTTGGTTAGCTGAGGAGGACGGTACATCTTATGAGCATCAAGACACCAAGAAGTGGTCTATGATCTGGCACATGCAAGTCCCCTCCAAACTGAAGGTGTTCATGTGGCGGCTAGCCCGTCATTCCATGCCCACGGGATCGGTCCTCAAACATCGACATAAAACAACACAGGACACTTGTTCGCTATGTAGGGCGACTGATACATGGAAACACGCCCTCATTGCATGTCCGATGGCAGCAAGCGTTTGGGCTTTGGCACCGGATGAGTTGGTCCATCATATGATTGAGCGCGAGGAGGATGGTCCGAAGGAGTGTCTGTTTGCACTATATGAAATATTGACGAATGACCTCTTTGATCGCCTGGTGGTGACGCTCTGGGCACTTTGGTATGCGAGGCGTAAAGCAATTCACGAGAATATATTTCAGGCACCATACTCTGTCAACAGCTTCATATCAAAATATTTGGATGAACTACGAGTGACCCAGCAAAGGCATCCTTCCTCGACCCCTTCTAAAAGCGCCCGACCAGCGCGGTGGCTTGCACCACCATCAGGTTACGCGAAGTTTAACGCCGATGCAGCGGTAACCAGAAACGGTGGGACAGTGGGGGTGATCTGTAGAGACAACAGGGGTATGTTTATGGGAGCCTCGACTCTCTCTTTCAGATACATTGTGGATCCCCCGACTTTGGAAGCACTTGCTATTAGAGAGGCACTAGCACTGGCAGATGATCTTTATCTGAGGCGCATCCAAGTGGCGTTGGACTGCAAAATGGTGGTGCAGGCACTAGTAGAAAACAGGGCTATGGTCCAGGCCGGCTCAGCCCATTAGTCCCGGTTCAGTCTAGAACCGGGACCAATGTGGGCATTGGTCCCAGTTCGTGAGCCCAGGGGGCCGGCCGGGCCACGTGGGCCATTGGTCCCGGTTCGTCTGGACCTTTTGGTCCCGGTTGGTGGGACGAACCGGGACCAATGGGCCTCGCTCCTGGCCCACCACCATTGGTCCCGGTTGGTGGTTGGAACCGGGACCAAAGGCTCCCCTTTAGTCCCGGTTCAGGTCACCAACCGGGACCAATGAGGTGCCTATATATACCCCCTCGCGCAAGAGCAGAGCACAGTGCTCTGTTTTTCTGGCCGAGGGGGAGAGGGCTTTGTGGTGCTCTAGCTCACCTCCTATGCACATGAGGTGTTCGATGGAATGCCCGAGCCACACTACTTAAGCTTTCTCCTCTCGAAGCTCGACCTCCAAGCTCCATTTTCCTCGAGATTTGTCTAGATTTAGCAGTCCATCACGCCCCGTCCCCGTCTTCACCGCCGTCGATCACCCGCGCCGATCTCATCACCGATACCACCATGGTGAGCCTCTTGTTCTTATCTTCTTTCTGAAAGGAAAAATATTCTTACTTGTATGTTTAGATAGATACTTGTATTATTTTCTTACATTTATTATTGCATCTTATATAGTGCGATGGTTTTGGTATCCGCCCCCGTCGGCCCTCGTCCTGTCTATGATTCGGATTTGGTATGTATATTATCTTTATAACTATTGGTTCATTTATTGTTTATGAAAATTATGCCGACCAACGTGACATAGATTTTATTTATCTAGGATGTATGTGAATCGGAAATGCCAACCGACCCTATTGTCGAGAGGTTAAATTTAGTTGAAGAAGAAAACAATTTGTTGAAGGAAAAAATAAAAAAAATTGAGGAGGAGAAGATGATATTGGAGTTGCATGTTGCGGATGTCGTCGATGATCACAAGATCAAGATGGATGCAATGCGCTTGAAGATTAAAAAGATTAGAAAATATGCCATTCATACCGAGGCTTGGTATCATTATGCCGTTGGATCAATTGTTACCTTGGTTGCGATTATGATCGCATTTGTTTTCGCATTGAAATGTTTTACATAGTTTCAATGTATGGTTTAATTAATTAGATGCTCTGGAGAGCTATATGTTGTTAGATGAGAACTATGTATGCACTTTGGTTTTAATGTGATGATGAACTTCTATTAATTTGGACACTTAATTATATATAATGCACGCAGATGAACCGGCAATGGATGTACGGTGACAGACACACCCGCGAGTACATTAAGGGCGTGCATGAGTTTCTCGATGCGGCTGAGGCAAACAAGCAGAATGGTTTTATGTGTTGTCCATGCACTGAATGTGGGAATACGAGGTCTTACTCTAACCGGAAAATCCTTCACTCCCACCTGCTTTACAAGGGTTTAATGCCACACTATAATGTTTGGACGAGGCACGGAGAAATAGGGGTTATGATGGAAGACAGCGAAGAAGAAGAGTACGGTGACAACTATGTGCCCCCTGAATACGGTGATGCTGCAACGGGGGGAGCTGGTGAAGATTAAGAGGAACCAGACGATGTGCCCAATGATGCTGCCACGGGTGAAGCTGCTGAAGATCAAGAGGAACCAGACGATGTGCCCGATGATGATGATCTCCGCCGGGTCATTGTCGATGTAAGGACGCAATGCATTAGTCAAAAGGAGAA